GGCCGGGGGGGACGGAAGGACAGACACACGCATACATACTCCCTCCTCACTCCCCCTTCTTCACTTCCACCCCCGTCCCCCCCAAAATTAGCAAATTATTTTCATACCATGGACTAACACAGGCACTTGGAGCATTGCTGGACTGAGCAGAAGAGCTACTGAAAAGAACACAGAGCCTCTGATGGTTCACTGGACTCAGACAGTCCACCTGACAAGAGATAACCCATTAACTAGTCATGGAAATGGTTTCCATCTATGCATTTCAAAGAGGTACATAAAAATAAAACTTCAATTAGCAAGATGTTTGGTCTTGCTTAAGTTAATCTTCTGAGGAAAGTAAAAGCTATCCTAAAGCCCTCTCTAGACCTTTTGCATGAGTAGTGTTGAATATTAGTACATCTGAATAGCAACAGGCATTTTTAAAGGGAAAGAAAACTCGAGCCATTAAAAAAAAGCATGCAATAGGTTTTTAGTCCACAATAGTTTATAAGCAGTATGCCCATACCTTAACACTTGTAACTCTCCACTAAAACTGTACATTTGGGTTAATGTGTCCCATCTCAGAGCATACAGAGTAGATTCTCATCTGTTCCCTCTCCCCAGGCCCACCCATATACCACTTTGTGAACTGACAAACATAAGCAGCAGAACAAAAAAAACCATAAAAGTCTGCTGAAGAAAGAGTCTAGGGTAAAGAGATTTTTTTTGTGGTCATAGGGCAGATCAACAATCATTTACTAGTTTAACCCAGAATGAAAAAGTTCTGCTACCACTTGTCATTAGCCACAGCTTGTATCACAAGAAAAGTCCGAAGATCAAATCTGGTCCTCTAGAGAAACTGTAGTTTGTTCCCCAGCTTTGGCAGTCTGCCACAAAAACTGCTACCCACAAAGCTTTTTTTTAGCTGGATGAAATTATGAAGCATTTGCATTCCACCCTGCCCAAACTTTTTGCGTGCATACAAGTAGATGTCACATCTCTAGCTCCTGGTGTGCAACAGAGACGCTATAATTATGTTTCTATTTTTTTTAAAAGTGACTTTTGACACTTCTCCAGCTGATCACATACCTTGCAATCATTTTAACCATTGATATGCCTTAATTACAACCTCTTAGCACTATGATTTTTGGTCCCCTTTCACTACCTGAGGTACAAAAACCTGAGTCTCAAATTAACATTATGGCTTCATAATGACTTGTTCTGAGGACTATTTTTCAAGCAAGAATTGAGTAATGCTTTTGAAACAGGCAAGACATTGTTATCTCTTCCTCAGAATTAATTCCAAATATATCAGACAAGTAAAGTGAACTGATGATGAAATGCATCAAGTTTTGTTCTTCACATTATTTAGGGAACACCTGCCTTACAAGCTTCCCCATTCTCTGTTACTTTTGTCACCTACAATCCATTCCTCAATCCATTTCTAGCTGAAGGCTGGAGGATGTGACTATTACAATAGATGTGACTATGACAAAAGCTGACAGTCCAATACAATTTCATTAGGACTGGACTGTTCATAAGTATGTTTAGCAAAAGGAAAATTAAGACAGCAAGTAGTAAGTCTAGAAATCTTACCTTGTGAGACCATACAGATTCACTCTGATCCAATCCCCTCTCGTCATCTTCATTTCTACCTCCAACTTTTCCACCAGCTACATCCTTATATTGAGCAAAAGGGTCCATGTTTTTCTGCTGTATTCTTCCACCTCTTGCCCGGTAATCTGCCAGCATTCTGGCCAAACTTTGGCTATCACCCACATGCTCTGCAATTCTAGTGTTAACCAAGTCATGGGAAGGCAAGACTTGGATCGCTTTGGCTTGGACACTTCCATTCATCCCCTGCAAGCCAGACAGATCCCTCAGTAGCTGTTTCTTCCGCCTGCTCTCCAGTTCCTTATGCTCTTTGTTGAGCAGTGGTGACCAATAGACCTGCTCTGGGAAGTATTCCCGGGTAGGGCACCTCATGCCCTGCTCAGTTAAAAGAAATGGTTCACGGAACGCAATTACAGGGGAAATGCAGAGAATAAGATCTTTCAGCTCTTGTTTAAATGCTGCTGAATAAGCCTTGAGTCTGTCCTCAGAGGACGTTACCTCCTCTGCAACATACAATCCAGTGTCATCCTGCAGAGGGTCTCTAAAGACTCTCATATGGCTTTTGGAATCCTGCAGGTCCTCTTGCTGCTGCAGAGTCTCCAGTGGCTGACCATCCAGTGTGCCTGGATGTTCATCCAAACCATGGAAGGGCAGCAGGGATTCTGGCATTGGAGCTACAAAAGAACTTGATGCTAAAAATGGAGGCTCCGTGTTGAGGTGCTCCTGCTGTTTTAAAGAAGACAACTCTTGCAGGACATCATCTTCAAATAATGTTCTTTGCTCTAATGAACCAACCTCATCAGAAGTGACAAATTCAGAGATCACAGGTAGTTTGTCAGAGGAAAGTTCACCATCTCTGCTCATTGTGCTAAACTCCTCACCATTGAATAGGTTCTGCTGCTCAATGTCGTCCTCTTGCTCTTCAATCAGAGAGTGAAAGGAGCTGTTTTTAGTTAGGGTGGGGGGCATAGCAAACTCATCCATGAGGAAAGAGATTTCAAGCTGGGAATGATAAGCCACGCAGACCATGAAGATAAGAATCTCCTTCACTCGGGACAGTTCATACTCTGCAGCACCACGTAGCTTGATTGTGCAGCCCAAGTGTGGTGGACACCCCTCAAAAAACATTAAGGTTTTTGTCTGATCTAGCAAAAAAAAAAAAAGGAAAGAAGAAAGAGACTAACGTCAAACCATTCCACAGCTAAAACAACCTATTAAAATTGCATTCTATTTTTGTAGCAAACTGCCAGCTGTTATGCAGGAGTCAGGGCTGGTGGCACAGCTTAGCTGGACGAACTGGGGCCCATCCCAATATTTGGTGCCAGGTTTGAATTGTATGAATTTAGGATATTTTTTTGGAGGAATGGATACCTTAAGCTATTCCTCTTCCTGAAAAGTAAGTTGTTATATATTTTAAGTCAAATGAGGACTGAATACATGAATAGGGTGAAACAGGCATTCTAAAGTCTGAAAGCATTTGCTTTAAGTTTCGAATTAACACTCCAAGGATGAAATGCAAGTTGTTACACCCAACAGGTGACCCGTGAAAAGAAAAAAAAAAAACTGGACTAGGGTTTAAAAACCAATTGGACTAGGTTAAAAACTAAGCTGACATAAGACAATGTTTTTGCTTGCTTGACCAGCCTTTTTCTTTTTGTAGTAAAGAGCTCCAGGTACGCAAAAAAGCTGCCAGCATTGCTGGTTCTCCTCCCAAATATAGTTTGTCACTTCTCTTAGAATGGGTTCCCATGCAGTGTAAACAGACAGGATCTGAAGTTGCACAGAAAAAGAATGCCTCTGTTGTGCACTTGGTTATATTTCTCTCATTATATCAAGTCTAGCTTTGCTATGTTTTCTCTTCTTGTTCTTTAACCATTTAAAAAAAATTTACTCTGCTAAATATTCTACTTTAAGTAGCAACTATTAGAGCTGTGCAAAATGTTGGCAGCCTTTTTGTTTGAGGTGTTTCGGGCTGTTTTGCGCCCAAAACACTGAATCTGAATCGAAACAGAAGGCTCCAAAACTACTCTGAAATTAACCAGAAGACTCCAAAACATTCCAGAGAATTTCGGAGTTTCAGAGCCGGGCTTCCAGGGAAACAAAAACTAAGAGGGAGGGAGGGAGGGGGAAGAAGGGAGGAAAGACTGCTCTGATATTGACATCTAGCTCCCAGTTTGATTCCCCAGCTCTCTGATCATTTCCCAGCTCTTCCCGGGGGGTGAGGGCCCCCAATCTGTGCGCAGGGTTTCAGCAGGCTTGGCGCAGGCGAGCTGAGCGCTGGGAAGACTGCGGTGCTTGCCACTGGCCTCAGGCTGCAGCAGCAGCCTGCTGAAACCTGGCATGCAGATCTGGGCGCCCGCACCCCCCTGGAAGAGCTGGGGGAACCTAACCAGGGGGCTGAGGAATCCCTGCTGCGCAACCCGGCTCTGCAGGGAGCAGAGATCTGCGCCAGGGTCTCCTCACTGCTACTACCCACCCCAGGCAGCCCCATGTCACTGGGGCAGCACGGGGCAGGCAATGGCGGTGAGGAGACCCCCAGCGCAGATGTCTGCTCCCTGAGGAGCCAAGTCACTCTGTGCTGATTCCCTCCCCTGCAACCTGGCATGACAGGGATCAGAGATCCATGCAGGGGTCTGCTCGTCTGCACGGAGGGCAGCAGCCCTCCCCCTTCCCCAGATGAGCTACCCACAGCCCCCATCCTGCTCCTTGCTGGGGCCCTGCAGGCCCGAACCCTGCCCAGCTGGGTAGATAGGGCTATATCAAGCTTCCCTTGCAGCCCATTCAAAACAGATTCAGAGGAGATTCAACAGAGCCAAATCTCCAAAACAGATTCGGCCGAAACGAAACAGGACAGTGGTCCGAAACGATTCACTGTCTGAATCTGAAACTAAATCAAAAAACACAGCCATTTCACACAGCCCTAGCAATTACCCTTAAGCAAACTAGCTATGGCATCTGAGTTTTATTTACCATTAGGTAGCTGGAACACTTGCATGTAAAATTTGTGACAGGTTCCCAAGTGTGGTTTGGTCAATAATTGATCCATTGACATCACCAGGTCTCCTTGGGTCATCCGACTCACCCGGTCTAATACTTGCTGCAAAGTGGATAAAGTAAGAAAAGAACATATAAATGAGAAAGAGGGGACACAAAACAGTAAGGCATTAAACACCATCAACCTACGAAAACACAGTATAATGTACTCCAAACTGGATCACCTATATTAAGTTAGTTGTGTGTTTTCTGAGAAAAAATTAAGGAACATACAGGCAAGTCCTTTCTTTGAAGGCTCCTGGTTTACTTCACAGTTGAAACAAATAGCTTATTATTATATTACTGTAATGCCTCCAATATGTACATGAACCCTGGATGTCACTGCATTTTATCTTGTTTAATACAAGAATTCTATACCCCATTATTGGAAAAAAGTCAGTCAACCAACCAACATCACATTACTTTAAATTTGTTATAATATTAGTTGAGCTTGTGATGAAGCACTTACTGGCTTGACATTGATAACCAGAGTGATGCCATGTTCCAGCAGCATGTCTTGGGCAATTCGAGATACAGTCTTTTCAACTAGGACCAAATTAGGTCTGACATCTACTATCCGCTGCACATAGTTCTTCAAGAACTCCCTTTCCTATATAACAGAAAGGAGGAGAACAGACAAAGTGTTTAGGTAATCTACTCTTAAAAATCTCCAACCTTCCTAAAGCTATTCCATTATCTAATGAGCCCAAATAGTTAGGGAAAAAGAAAAAATAATCTTCTCGTGCCTACCCTACTGATTTAAGCCAGTCTCAGATTTTTGAATCACAGGAATTCATTCACTTCTGTTCCAGAATGGAATGGAAATTGGTTTTAACAGAGAAAAGATTCCAGTTGCCATACAGCTCTCATCATCACTTGGCCAAATGTTAATTGTGTCATCAAGATGGCAAAGTCAAATCCCCATTAGCAGGGCAATTCTCAGACACATTTCAAGGGTGAGCTCTTAAGTATATAAGTGTTGACATTTACTTGACATTATTTATGGCTCTAGGCAATTTGTCAGTGCACCAGCTGCTTTGCATACCCCTCCATAGCATAATAAGCAAACGCAAGTAGTTGACTTGGGAATTTTTATTTGTTAGACTATTACACATTGGACACTGCAGTGCCCGCATCCTTCATCAGCTCTAACCTCTACTATCCAAACTTTAGGGTTTAACAAAGTTATTAACAAGAGGTTCATTGTTGAGGTGCTATTGCATGGGAATAGGTTGCATGCATGACATTGCAGCTGGCATATTTACAGCCCTGCCAGAGACCTGAAGCCTAGGTTGCCACTACTATCGGCATACAAATTGCAAGCCAGATGACAAGCCCAAAACGGACTCAATGTGTCTTAACTAACTGTTTTGGATTTTGGTCATCTGACTGAAAGTATTTACTTTTTGCCAGAATCTACCACTGGGGAACACTGTGCAGTCTTTTAATACCTGTTACTGTTCCCCTTTAATTTATGCTGGTTCTCCCATATTTTCTGCTAGCTCCTCTGGCCACTGCTGTTAGTATTGCAGCAAGGATCAAAAAGCTTTCACAAGCAGTTGATATTAAGCTATCCTCTATAAAATTCTATTTCAATTTCCTTTAAGCAGTCCCTCCTCCCTCTCCACATTTACAGGGGACAGGAAACAAGAGGGTCACAGGCATATTTCAAGGGTTACTTTAAAAAACAAACAAAAAAACTATATTGGCATGGGATAGATATATTAAAGCCTAAAATATTAAAGCCTTTAATGTTTCTATCACCTTACAAATATTGCTTTTTTTTTTTTAAAGCACCCCTTGAAATTAGGGCTATTACTGCATATTCTTTCCTATCCCCTGTAAATATGGAAAAGGGAGGAGGAACTGCTGGAAGCAAAACTGAAATAGAATTTTTATTCAGGATAGCTCAGTCTTCTTGATCATGTCTCTAGTCCAACCTTTCTATATCGTATACTCCCAATATGTGCACAGAGCAATGCTTCTGGTGTTGGTGTTGCCAACTTTTGTGAAGCGCATTGTGGTGCTACAGGACATCTCAGGAGATGATCCATAGTTTTCTTCTCCTGACAAAACATGCTGATCAGCTGCAGAGGGGTCCTATGATTTCATGAGAAAACTGCATCTGCTGAGACGCACTCTCAACATCAACTGCTTGAGAAAGCTTTTTGATCCTTGCTGCAATACCTCTCTGTTAAACACAAGGCATAGATCCCTCCCCCAACCCCAGAAAGTCACTATCCACCACCCCCTACCCGCTCCCACTGTTAAGCTATTGCGCATCAATACAAAATTGAAGTTCTACTGCTAACATTTACATTTCTGAGCTACCAGGTATTAAAATCACCAACTGCAACATGCTTTCATCTCCTTAAAAGTATCAATTGACAAGTATATTACACACTGCCAACTGACCAACAGACTGATTAAAAGCAAAGGCTCAAAAAGTCACCGCAAACCAAAACTTTTGCTTTTCCCTTCCTACACTCCACCTTTGGAAAAAAGCAGCAGCTACACTAATTTAAGTCTAAATCCTTAAAACCATCTCATAATAGCAAAAGAATGACACAAAGCAACCTTTGTTCTCTACTGCATTAGATTAAGCATTATCAATTCCTAGTAGACAGACATGTACAGGTTTGTTCATTTTCTACCGCTATTCTTTTTTCTGGCTCTAAGTTTCATCCATTTTTTCTACTGCTCTTCAGACACCCCAGCAACTTCCCCCCCCCCCCAAAAAAAAGAAAGAAAGAGAAAAAGACAGAAAAGAAACCAGGCCTATCAACCATCTTTTTTTAACAGAAAATTCCTTCACACCATGTAAATATTATATACCCATTATTTTGGAGCGGTGTTATTTATGGTGCAAGACCTCCCCCCTCAATCAACAAAAAGATACAAGCTAGAGGGGCAAGTATACATTTGCTTTAACTTTTCTGAAATACTGTCTGAAGCAGCTCAGTTATTTTATTCCCCTGTGACCAAATTATTTGTAACCGCCCTCCAAACAACTGCAACTAAATTACATGCGTACTGACCACCAATTTTTTTTTTTTGGTTTTTTTTAAAAGATCATTAGACTGTAATCCAAACAATATGAAACAAAGAAACAGAAGTAAATATTCTGACCTGGAGAACAATAGGATCTATACAGGTGAACTTTGTCTCCTCCCGGTAAAGGTATTCGATGGAACACTTCAGTAGAAGAATTTTGGGATTTTTAATACAGGAGTTCATCTAGATAATTAATTACATAAACAAAAGACAGGGGAGGAAGAACAAGGCATATCAGATTTCAGCTCCTCTTAATATTCCTTCCACAAATCTTTGAGACTCCTCCCCTTAGTTACTCAGATGCATCAAACAAGCAAAGCTGAAGTTTTGCAACCACTTTCACAGAATTAGTCATGAACATTGGAAACTCTGGAACTACACTTTACATTGCTAAGCTATACAATAGCAGAGAAGCCTTGGAATTCCATTTGTACTACACGACAATTACTGCTCTGCAACAAGAACGCCAACAAACCAGTTCCTGGCAGACACCTTTCCTACAAGACCAATGCAATTTAAATGTTCCACAACTGCCCAAGTTACAGTGCACAAGGTCAGATACTCTCCAGGTCTGACCTCTTGCCATGTTTTAGAAGCTTATTTTACAGTCTGCCACTGAAAGGGACTACAAAGAGGTGCTCTCCAGTAATTCCTATACAGCTCATTAAAGGTTTCTATAAAAAGTGTTGCATTTTGACTCTTCCTTAAGTATATCAGCCAGTGTTCTCATTAAAACCCCTGAGCTACAAGGGAACAGCTTTGAGAGTAAGTAAAATATACAGGCACTTTCCACTTGACGATTCAATATTTAATGCCAAGTCACCACAACCCCTTAAGGGAAAGGTTTTCAAATCAGGAAATATGTACATCTGCTCTCAGCATACATCAACTACTGGGATAAAATTATTCTTTTGTGTATGATGCCTTGAAATCTGCTAACAAGAATAGAGACTATAAGAAACACCATTACCTTCTTGTGTGCAACATTCTTGGTGCAAACAAAGCCATTTACCACATTAGAATCAAACTTCTTTCCACCTGGGATCTAAAACAGGAAGAATTAAGAACTGTTACATATTTGCTTGATCTCCTTACTTTCTTGGTTAGCATAACATGCAAAAAAGTTGCTAAAAAGGCTTATTTTACAGTACATAAACTGACAATTAGCAAAGGAAACGGAAATGAACTATCAAGCATTATTCTATAGCATATACATTTCTCCCAAGTTCTGATGGATGAGCGACAGCATCTGTCATCCTAAAACTGTTTTCAGTTTTAGGGTCTTGGGCCCTATTAGGTATGCACATATATTTTTTAAAAAGACAAGTAATCAGCAATAAATTACCTCCACCATGTAGAAAAAAAGTTAGCAAAAAGAGGACCTGACATGGTAGTTTCTAAATGGCCTAAATTCTGTGGAAGTCAGCAAAATATTAGTTACTACAGGCAGTCCTCGGACTTACGGCACAGTTTTCAAGAACCAATTGTGTCTTAAAACATTGGAACTCGGAACTGATTTTCCCCATAGGAAACAATGTCATAAATGGGGGGTTGGTTCCTGAACCAAGGCTCAATACCCTATTTTCACCAAAAATAACCCAGAATTTTGTACTCAATCAATTATAGATGAGTAACATAGCTACATTGATGTATTTATATTGTAAATAGCAATCATATTGATTTGAAAGGACTTAGAGGTGATTTTCTTGGACTTTTTGAAGGGCCCTTGGCTGGAGTCTTAGCTGTAGGTTTTTCTGGAGTCTTGTCTGCTTTCTTAAAGAAAGTGTCCAAGGAAGTTTGGACAGATGTTCTCCAAGGAGATGGGCAATACAGCAAACTTGTTTGCTGGTGTGGCATCACGTCAGATCAAGCATTGTAAAGTCGAAACTGACATCAGAAAGTTGAAAAAGGATGTCAATTTATAAATGTTTATAAACAATTTATAAACGTTTACAAATGTTGACAGCCCCCCAGCCCTGGCTCTGTGGCTGCCAGCCGCTTCTGGGTAGCTGCGGGAGCCTGGGCTGCTCCGAGCAAGGCTTGCAGCTGCCTGCTGGGAGCAGCCCGGGGTTCCTGGCTAGCAGCAGCTCCCCAGAGCCGGGCCGGCTGCAGCTGGGAGGCTCCAAACAGCTGTGCCAGGCTCCAGCACCAGTTCTGCACCAGCGCGTGCAGGCGCGGCTCGGAGCAGGAGGGGCCTGAGGCAGCGCAGCCCCCGGCTCTCCCCCGCTCCCCGCACCGCG